CTTATATCCTCTATAAGCTAGGCAAAAAACGCAGAAAGCTCTCTCATACTTAGTTTCAAGAAGAAATAGCGCAAACTCTACTACAAGGACCTGGAGCTATTCTACGGCGGCGGCAACAACAACCACGCCCTTCTCAAGCTATTCATACTAGGCCAGTACTAAAAGATAGCTACAAGGGTCATTCGTGGGTTAAAGGAGATGGCTATCGCCGCTGCAAGATATGTAATCCGATCTGCAGTCGAAAAGAAGGCAGACCGCGCAAAGCACTTCAGCAACTGCCTACTAATGCTGCAAATAACGCACAAAGAGGCAGCAGAGCGGGTATCCATAAGACCAAATGGTCTTGTAGCAAGTGCAGCATCCCAATTTGTTATAATTCGAGGTGCTGGGCGCGTCATTTGCCCTCTGAATAGATTGAGTACAGCACATTGAGCAAGTTGTTTTTTTGTTGGTGTTGCTACTTCCCAATTAGACTTAGTGTATATTTAATTAAGGTTATCTTGGCATCTGTGTGTTGACCAATGAAAAAACGGGTCCATTTAACGTCAGAATGGTGGATACCATATGATTGCCACCATACTCGACGGGACTGCTAACACAATATGCAGTCCTGCATAGTAGATGCTTGTGTTGGATATCTTATAAATTAGTACCTCACGGCTCGGGGTAAAAGCCTCCTGTGCTCCTGCACTTCCCTACCAAACGATCCTCGAAAAAGCACTCCAGGATGGTCTGTACAAGTAAACGTCGGCGGTTCCAAGCACCAATCACTTCCTTCTTCACCAGTGAATCGTCGTCTTCCTGCGATCCCTCTGATACCTTGCAAGCACAACAACACGGACAGGATGTCTCATCTCCGCCTCTCCCACACGAAATCCAGTCTTCGCTGCTGACAGTGGGAATGCGCATCCGGAAGTCAGTCCCGGAAGGATACAAGACGCATAAGATGCTTCACTCGAGTAGCCTTTACGATCATTCGAGCTACTTACTCAACTCGGGGGTTCAAGACCATAATTCTACCATACCGATAATCCTCCCGTCAACAACTCGTGCCGCTTATGCGGAATTAGCGCCTTTCTGCGGCCTTCATAAGGTGGGGGGTATGGCTGTGCAGCCTCTGCCAGTAGTATCAAGTGGGAGTTACAGACACGTCCTTGGGCAAAATAGGGCAGTGCGGGCCGAGGAGCCAGACCCGTGTTCTCTACCGTCAAGTCAAGAATCAACAGACAGCTACATTCCATTCCCTCCGTCGAACAAGAGAACTTTCACGTCCGACGAAGATGAGGACGAGGATGATAAAGATGAATTCGGGAACGACATTTTGAGTCAAGAACGATCAACATACCCGTTCAGTCAAACCAGGATGCCGCCTCTGAACACTCTGTTCCCTTCTCCAGATGTCCAGTCTTTCTACAATAGCAATACTAGTATACCACGCCCGTTCGCAATCCCACGGAGTAGACTCCCAAGCCACAAGGACAGAAAATCTGTTCTAGATGGACAAGAGAACCACGATTTGACACCACAAGCGTTGGGTATGCCGGCATCTGTAATCAACTCATCGGAGAGAGTTGTTGACTTTGAGGACGCAGAGTTCCTTGCAGCAAGAGAAGACTTGGATACCGATAATCTGATGGAGGAATGCTGATCAAAGTCCTTAATTACCACGCAACTTGTCATCCAAGCTAGACGGCCCAAATTTATCGCCATCACCAAGGGCTGAAAGGGTGCGAATACAGAGATGGCGATAATGGCCCGCTGAGAAGGAGACGCAGTCATCAGCCACTAGCCTCGGACTCCTTTTCTGGTTTACTCGAGCACAGAACCCGACATCTCCCGGCAGGCTGAAGAAGCGAAGACGGGAAAGAATACACGATTTATATGTTTCCAAGGCAGATAAAAAATAATAGAGAACCCGAAGGCGAATTCTATCATTAGAAAGCATTCGGGATCATTGTCGAAACATACAACCGCACCACCGGTCATCACCTGTTTCACCATTCAAGATACCAACTAGTATACTGTAGTAAGAAGTGTTGTTTCTTTTCAGAGCAGAGAACGAAATCACATTCGATCTGACCCACCTCGCCACGTCACTTCCAGCATAAATCGAGAAGTGGACATGCCTCCATGCATCCGCAGAGCGCATCCGTCGTTCTGAGACGTATCTCCCTGGACCCGCCAGATCGAAGGGAGTGCTGGCTGGCAGAATTTTTTTGGAGGTGGATGCCCGCTTCGGCCATGGAGCTGGACCGGCATGTTGGGTCGTGCCATCATATTGGGTTGCGTGAGGGTGATGCTCAGACACCCACTCGGCAGGGAGGAAGCGGAAGAGGAAGAGCAAAACCAAGAGCAAGACCAAGAAAAAGAAAAAGAAAATCAAGCAGCCCTTAGCCCAGCGCCCGAAATGTAGCAAATACATCAAATTACTCAAATAACGGACGTCGCGTGACGTGATGAGACGGTGTGATATTGATGGCCGTCAGCACCATGGTAGTGGTAGTACCCACCAATACAGTAGGGAAGCAGCAATTACTGTATCCATGCATAGTGACTAACTAAGTTGCTGCCTATAGATGCCTCTAACCGAGACTCCTACCAGGAGATACACATTGCATCTATCTACATGGACATGGATGAAACGGTGATATCCAGCTGCCCCGTAACACTCTATCATGTATATACATATATACATACATACATACATACATACATACATACATCCATACCAGCCTTTCTTCACCTCCCCAGCCATCCCATCCCATCCCATCCCATCC